GGATGGATGGATGGATGGATGGATGGATGTATTTACCCAGGCAGAGGTGGGAATAGAAGCCTTCGTTCTTCAGCATGATGAGCAGGGAAGCCCAGCCCAGCAGAACAGCAGAGAAGAGCAGATTCTCAATGATAGCAGTGATGGCCATCCACCACCTCCTCCTGTAGGCCTGGGCCAGGCTGGGAGCCATGACAGCTGGGAACCAGGACAAACACAGTGTTAGCAGAACACCTTCATCTAGGATCCACCTTTATTTTGTTTCCATGGAGTTATTGAACTAAATGATAAAACAGGGGTTTGGATGAGCTTCGTCTGACCAACCAGGATGAGCAGACTGCATCCATTTAGAGCTCATCGTTTCATTAACTTTGCATTGAATGGATACTAAAGGTGGATGATCCAGGTCCAGAGGGTTTAAAGCCTGTATCAAGATTAGTTCCCACCATTAGCATCTCCAGCTCTGGAGGCTGGTCATCTGGTGGGCAGAGTGTTTACCTTCTGGACCTGGATCATCCATCATCATACAACACTGATTTAAACAAACGGAAACAAAGGAAAAAGAACACTAAGGAAAATAAGAGCAGAACACCAGACCGAGCTGATGTCAGATTAAATTCAGTCCTACGCCACCCAGGACTCTGTTTCTTTCTGTTTGATCAGATTTATTCTAATCAGATTCATTAAATAAACTGATATCAGATCATTTAAGGTGAAATACCTCAGATTTTGATAAAGCTCAGTGATGTTAGCGTATTTAGGACCAACCTGGATGGTTACAGGTCAGGAGACAAAGGCTTTCTGTAGCTGTCTGTGTTTCAGCCACCAATCTCTATTTGTTCCCTGGATCATTGATTGCCCGTCGGTGGTACAGGGTTGAAATGAAACCACCAGCCGCCATATTGGTACTCCCTAGTTAGACCGGTCACAGTGTAAACAATACACTGCAGCATCAAACAATATGATGTTCTTATTTTCAGAGGGTCTTAAGCCTTTTAAAATAAAGATAAATTCATCACTTTGACACTGGCTGCTTCATAGAATCAGTAGATTAGTGTAACTTATAATAAAATAATAGTCACATCACATTGCATAGTCATTATAAGGACAATGAAGTCTATAAATCATGTAATATAACATATTACACAAATCCATCACAATAAAATGAATGTGTTGATTGAGCAGAATAATACAAATGGGCCAAAAGTACTAAATTAATGATGTACGTGTAATATACATGAATTGATGACATTCTTGTTGTTGTTACATATAATTTCAAGATTTCACATCCAGACTGAATGATGCTATAGGGTTTACTTCTTTGTAAATTGTGCATAATCATTGATGCACTCCGGTATACTTTTTGCTGTGTCTGTGCATTAGCCTTTAAAAATGTTTCAGTTGCTTTTTTAACATGCAATATATTTCAGCACGTGCCAACAAACTACAAAAACAAAAGCATCATCCACTTAATAAAGAATTATTACATTGACATTTCACCGTGAATTACTTTCTATTTTCTGTTAGACCAAATGCCAGTGGCTAACTCAGTCAATGTCTTCCAGTCAGTCCCAGATAGCCAGACTAATGTTACGCTACAGACTATACTATAGGATCCATCGGAGTGTAGATGGATTTATTGGTTAGTTCATCCACTGATTGGGAAAAACCTGTGGATCATCTTCCCACAGCCAGAAAACTGCTGTTTTTTGCAGCTAAATGCTAGACAGGGAGGCATTTTTACTGCACATCTCTATGGGAATGGGGAGTACCAATATGGCGGACGGTGGCTTCACTTTTTTCGGCCAATCAGCAATCCAGTGAATTAATGGAGATCAGTGATTCTAGCCATTCTGGAGAGGCCTCTGGCTGAAAGTCTGATGATGAGTTCTTTTGGTTTGACCAGGATCCCCAGAATGGTCCATAATGCTTATTTTTTAATTCATGAAGCAAACATACAGGCACAGACCTCTGAATAGGCAGCAAAGCTACACTAGATCAGAACTGTCTCGCTTGCTGTTGCTAAGGAAATACTTCTTTCTACAACCACATTGAAGATGTGCAGCATCAGGGGATACTTCTAGCTTCTGGTCCATCTCTGATACAACCAGAGGGCTGATGTCTCCAAAGATAAACAGAAAGTGTGGTAGTCCAGTTCCCTGTGGAAGTCCACAGGGTCACACAGCCAACAGAGTTTGTCCTCTAGTCATCAACCCTAGCAGCTATGGAGCCATCTAAAGGTGTCTGTTGTAGGGTCCTGCATTGGAAATCAGGC